AAATGAAAGCGAGAAGAAAATGACAGAAAGTTTGAAGATGGTGTAAAGTAATTCAACAAAGGAAGAAGAAGAAAGAAAAAAACGAAAAAAGACAATAAATGCGGTGAGTCAAAAGACTGAAGCCTATTAAAGTTGGGTCGCTGACAAAGTGTCAATATTCCCTGTTCTTGTCCTTCAAACATCGTGTTCAGCGCGCGCCTTTTTTTTTCATCGTTGGATGAATGTTTTTTTTTTTTCCTTTTTCCTCCTCTTCCCCCCACATCGACAGCCATTTTGTACGCTGGATGGGGATGTGCGGATGTGACTCTCTTTTGCCTTTCCCTATACCTCCCGCTCAGTTTTATTTACTACAAATCACCTAGGACACCTATGTACCGAAGAGGGTGTAGGGGAGTGTCACTCAGTGGTAAAGAAACTGCTGCTTTAATGAGTTCTGGAGCTGTGAGATGAAGCACTGATGCTAGGGCAATAGTCAGCATGTTACTTTCAGAAACTATTCAGTGATCTCTATCCTTCTAACATGAACAAAATCATGAACCCAAATTAGCCTTTTCCAACAATTATTGATTGACTTTAAGAAGGTAAGAGGAAAAAAGGTAGCTCAAGGCTAATCTTGAACTTCTATTATCTTTTGGAAACAGTCTTGCATATCCTGCTCCTTTTTGTGATTATAATGTTTGTTTTTTTTTTAATGTTTACTCAGTAAAAGGCCCGTAAGCCACTAAAGGTAGAACTGCTCAGATGAACTTTTCCCTGGTGAATACATGAATTTAAGCGTGCTACTAGATTGGCATTTTGGCCGCACCCGTTTACTGTTGAAATAGTTAAATGTAACCGATATTTCTACTTCAACAGTTTCTTTTCTCGTACTTCCTGCCCGTGGAACTCCCTTCCGTTTCCTTTCTTCCCTGATAACTATAATCTTCAAAAGTTTAAATACAACGTTATTCGCCATCTTTCTTCTTGATTCCCGTTCATTCTTTGTCCTTTCCTCAATCCTCCCTGGACTCAGTCTTCTCTCTCACTTTCCTTCTCTGTAACCCCCGCTGCACACCCGTGGCATTCCTTTCTTGAATGGGGTGAAATAATTTAAAAAAAAAATAAGATGGTTAAAGAATGAGATGAGCGACATTCAAGCAAGAGGAAGGAATAGCAAATGAAGATTATGGCGGATAGATAACGATTGACCCTTGACCTTTAAGAAGTTAAAATTATAGTGTGGATTATAGGTGTGCATGCAACGGTGGGATGTTACACAAAAGTAACAGTTTTGGGGAAGATGCTATCTGGATGGAACTTCCTTTTTACAAATGGAATACGAAAAGAATGTAGCGTGAGTATAGCATGATAGGTATCAGTTGTAAATGTCTGAACTAGTGGAACTAAAGAATGTATCTCATCAGAACATATGCCATGGAAATAGAAATAGACTTGTGACGTTTCGTCCATGAAGATGGGGATATGGAGGCGGGGTGGGGAATAAGTCATTCCCTACAAGGCCGCATAAACAATTTTGAATTCTACCAAGGCTGGAAAGAATGAATTGGGCAGTCTTGGCACAGATATGTTAGCATCAATCCATGTTTGGTCTGATCGGACTCTTGAACAGATAAAGCATGGCAGGAGGAATTAGGTACTTCCTGGTGCCATACACGAAACAAACCTGTCATCTTTGGCGATGGTTCCAATACACGGGTTCTACTTGACGTCTGGCTTCAACTTCAGTTCTAATAGGCATTCAAAGCAAGGAGCTTCTTTGAGAGTGAAACTATTTCTCATTATAATTTTCTGTTCGAGTTTTATTTTTCCATATATAATATTTAAGAAAAACTGATTTATCTTCGAAAAGGACTTAACTCGAAACGTCTTAAGCCGAGGTGTGTGCGTGTATATATATATATATATATATATAGTCATCCACAGATAGACTGTTTCGCCGTTTCACAGCTCTTCAGTGTGGCAAGACATCCGTTTGCCTCTAGCTAGGATCGAAACCCGACTGAATTGGTGTCAGTCGGGGATTCTACCACTAAGCCGTCGGCGCACACATATATATAAGTGAATATAGAAGTCAACACTTAGAGGCGACAGCCTGGGTCATGCTAGATGCAATCGTCAGGTCACGAGTACCTGAGGATTTCATTATATTTACACACGCTCTATCTCTGATATTGAGCATTTTATCCCATAAAATGTGGCACAATGGGGATTGAGACAGTCGAAATCTGGCAAAACTGGTTGCATGGGACTGTCGGATGCTTGGTCTGTCAAGGTCCGCTTTGGTTACGCCAGCCCAAATAGCGCTGCCCTCTTCCGCCGGTTTGGCCTTTGAGAGAGGGTAGATCCTATTCCGCTATTGGGGGTCTTTGGGGAGATTGGTCGCGTTCAATCTGGTCCTTTCTCTTCGACCATAATACCATGGGTGACCGTACAGGAGTCGGAACTCTAGACGGCTTCATTCTTCGGATCACTGGGACAAGTAAGCCCTCTACCATGATAAGGAACGGCCATATATATTTTACAATGGATGTCGGAGTGAACAGTTCATTATCAAATGTACCACTTTGACTTATTATTACTTTAACGACAATAGTAGAAACGAATCAATAAATAAGAACAGAATAAAAGTATAAAATTACCTTTAAATATATGAGCACTTTTTTGATTATTGTTGTTACTAAAAATAAATATTTCAGAGATAAATAATAAAGAAAGAAATTCATTACTGCATGCAAAAAAATTATCAAACCCCATTACGACATGAAACGCTTTTCTTACAAATTTGAAAATAGGTCCTCGTCCATAAAAAAATGTTACGTTGCTACAATCAATAAATAAAAGGATAACAGAATAAAATTATTGACAAATGTTGTTAAAAATGTTTGAATAATAAATGATAGGTAAAGAAATCGACGATATTGAACCAATAGTCAATGATAAGCAAAACAAGCATTATTACACAAAATGCATTTCCTACAATTTCGACAATTATGTTCTCTTTTATAAAAATGTGAAATATTACACTTAAATATAAATATAGAATTATTCATGCAAGTTTATATGTAATTTAAAAAATGCAAGGCATTAAATATGACAATTCCTAGTGATATGCAAAAACACATTTTCTCGCTACATATCTATTCGTCCATGCTTAAATTATTGCTGTCACATCTGATTCGGTGCCCCTGCTATTTACCATGAGTTCCTTGATAAGATCTAAAGAAGAATCTGCAATATTATTGGTCCTGATCTGGTGGCGCAGCTCCAGTCACTTTCCCACCGCTGTAAGGTTGCATCTCTGTCTTTTCTATAAATAATTTCATGGTAATTTTTCGGATGAGCTCTTCGGTATGGTACCTAGACTTTTTGAATTTAAGCACAGAATTAGACTGGCATCAAGATCTCATCAATTTACAATTGAGCTGGCTAGATGTAGCTGTAAGTTCTATGCTAAGTTTCTTTCCTTGCACTTCTCATTTGTGGAACTCCCTTCCGGTCCCATGCTTTCCAGCCAGTTTTAATCTGCAAAAATTTAAATGCAATAATCAATCGCTATCTATTGTTCACCTGATTACTCTCTTCTCTTTTTGCTCATCATTAATGTTTCTGTGCCTAATTCTTCCACACGCTGTAACCCCTTGTTTTTTAATGGCATTACTGCCTTGCTTGGGGTATTCATATATTTATATATATATATATATATATATATATATATATATATATATATATATATATATATATAAGCTATTTTAGAAATAAAACAAACAAAAAAAAGTTGACGTATATTTCGATTTAAAAAATATAAAGTAAAAAAAAAACAAATGAAATATACAAATATGTATTTTAATAATGAAATATTGTAAATGAATAATAATATAACAAAATTATAATATAACAAAAAAAGAAAAATATAAGAATAGAAAATGAATAATTAAAGACTTTCCTTTTTTTAAAATACGACATTGTTTTCTTAAGTCGAAATAATCACGCTATAAACCGCAAATAAGCCCCCCCTGCCTATTACAGTATTTATGATATGTACTTCCTGTATTCTGGATATCCGCCTTATCTTCCAGCGATATAACCTTACACTTAGCATTAGCACTTGCAGTGGGACTTTTCTTCGGAGCCAAAGATGTATTCCAGATCACAATTGAAATGTAATTGAAAGAACTTCAACGGCGGAGCACCGATATAAACAAGTCTGTATTCAAACTCGGTGTTGGAGCGGAAAACAACGCACGAGTGCCGCCTATCGGCAAGAATTCGAAATAACATATTTTATTATAACTTTTTTTATTTTCGATGATTTTATCATAGAGTTTATAAACTACGATTGTGTTTCGTTATATATATATATATATATATATATATATATATATATATATATATATACTAGCAGTAGAGCCCGGGGATGTAACAGTAAGAGATAGATCAAGTATCGACCATCATAAAGACTGAAAAATATAATTGACAAAGATTATTGTTTAAGGTTGACGGACACGCATGTCTTAATTAGTTTTTTTTTTTACGAATTGATCAAACCCAAACTCAAACAAAAACATTGTTTTCAATCGTTATGAGTCTATCGATTGAATAGAATTTTATTATAAATTATTGTAAATGGAATTTTTAAAGCATTTTGAATGTAAAAATAAAGAAAAAAGTGTGCAAAACAATAGAAACACTACCTGCCAAAAAAAGTGAAGTTTTGTTGAAATCGGTTGAAAAATGTAGGAAATCCGATCCCACATATAAACGAACACACACACACACACACACACACACACACACACACACACACACAATCTGCGTTTTATAATAAGTAATATATATATATATAATATTTTTAAATGTATTTAAATATGATTTTATGTGTTTATTGTTATTTTAGCGTTTTGACGTTTCTAATATTTTTAACAGCCGACGTAAACTCGAGTAAAACGACGTAAGGCGAGTTTTATTTTTCCATATAATATTTAAGAAAAACCGACGTATCT